AAACCTAAACTTTTTACTGACCGTTGCGCCACCTTTTTATGGCATACTGTGAATCTGTATCTGTGATATACTAAAAACACTTTGGACAGGCTTAGCATAGAATATCCCATAGTACAGTACAGTACTATAAAATAATGTTCAATTACTGTATTAATTCAGGCAATTCATTTTTATCATCATAGTTTCAGATTTTAAACTTTAAAACTTTATTTAAAGTATAGCTAATGACTTATTTTAGGCAAATAATTCAATTTCAAACCTTCAATAAATAACACGATAAATTCACAAAGACATTAATTATTACATCTATTAATGAATAAATAAATGTCAATTTATTGAATCTCATGATATGTGAGCACATGTATCCATAATAATGATCATTATTTATTAGCAATAACAAATTAATTGTTAATATTATATTCAATAATAAATCAAATTAAAGTATATTAAATTGAATGAGTGATCAGTTTCATGATTGTCATACATATTTACAATTGATATTAAAGCTAATAAATAATGGATTTAAGTAAATATATAAGGGATGGACCGATGATGAGGGAAGAGGAGGAAGAGTTAGACAACTCATTCATAAACGACTCGTCGGGAGAAGAGTCTGAACCGGAATTCGAAGTCGAGAAAGTGTTGAACAAACGTGTGATCGACGGAGATCTGCAGTATCTCTTGAAATGGGTTGGATATGACTGGCGGCACAACTCTTGGGAACCGATCTCAATGATGAACTGCAGTGAACTGATCGCTGAATTTGAGGCCCATTTTACCACTAAATCTGACTCTAATTATACGGATATCTTCGGCGCCGACGCCAACGATCTCGACTCGGATTCGGACTCAAACTGCTGTACAACTAATGACTCGGGATTTGGCGAAGAAGTTACCGAAAGTCTTGATCCAGTGGTTGACCAAAACAAGAGCGATGTCAGCGATAGCGACGGCTTCGATGAAGTGAATGGCGACGACGACAATGACGGCGACGGCGAAGAAGAAGAGGAGCTTTTAGACAACAATGAATCGCAAAACTCAGGCGAAGAGATCGCCGATGATTACTATGATTTCGATGCGTTTCCAACCATTTTTGACATCAGTTTTGACGATTCAGAGGATGAGAAGTTTGTGGCGAAGACACCGATTATTAAAACAGAAACACCCGAATGCCTACAAATGAAGACTCCAGTGACGGATGTCTTAGCAGACAATTCCCAAAACACTCCTAAAATGTCGACCACTTTGAATGTCTCCCTCTTAACGCCTCCAATCACTCCAAAAGTTCCGGAACTCATTTTACTGGACGACAGCGACAACGAGATTAGTATCTGTGAAACTCCATCCGTGGCGTTGAGATCAACTCAGAAGAAGAAGACGATTAAACGCCGCAAGAAATTGATTTTTAATAAAACGGCGCCAATTATTATGCTCTCAGACTCGGAGGACGAGACTAATCAACAGAAATCAGATAATAATGTCGAAAATAATATCGACGCGAATGTGAATAAGATTACCGAAGAGACGACTCAACTATCGCTTGATTTACGAGAGAAACAAATTGACGAAAAAGAGGAACAAAATGAATGTCAGACCGAATGTAATGAAGAGTCGGACGAATCGGACGGAGAACTAGTCATTGATATGAGTGGTGGAGAAGAAGACAAGAATACCAATAGTGTTGACATTGAAGACGAAATAGAAGTAAAAGTTGACTGAAATTCTCATATTATTGTTATTGAATTTATTATCTTTATATTTAAATGTTTTTTTATTACTTTACTTTGTTTTATATATGAATTTTATTGCCCAATCATTTGACAAATATTTGCAATCAATTTTTAATACGCTTTTTAAAAGTGATTTATAATTTAATTTCCTTTAAATATGAAATCCGTGTAAAAGTTAATTCATTTATAATTTATAATTTTTAACAGTTATCACTTCTCATGAATTTTATTATAAATCTTTGTTTTCGAGTGAATATTTAAATTTTATTATAATTTCACATAATATTATTGACTGGTTGTAGAAAAATATTAAACAATAATAAAAAATCTATTAAAATAAATATAGTAAATATTTTCCCCCATTTGTGTCGATATATCCAATGAAGTGTAAGAACTTGTATTCAAATCTTATAATGGTTTATGTTATAGGCTTTATGCCATAGAGTGACTAAACAAACCGGTAATTTCCATCATAATTAAGCCCCGAATGAATTTTTTCTTTCTCTCCATCGATATTATAATGTGTTTGAAAACAAGTTTTTGTAAAAATTTACGTCAGCTTTGAAGCCAAGGACTTTCGCTCACTTCTTACACAATGTTTTCATTCAACGAATCAAATTATTTAATCGTTTGTTTGAGTTAACGAAAGAAACATTCAGTTTGTTTGCCAAACATTTAAATTTAATTTTTCTAAACTATAGTTTGAATTATTATTAGATTTAAGTCAAGACTTAAGTCTATTTATAATCAAATCTTCGGAGAAAATATGAGTTTAAATGAATGTTCCGGTAATCAAATTGAGGGCTCAAACAACAACGAGGGGTGAGTTTTTGAAACAATTTTTGGTTTTGTGTTTCATTACAAAGTACATTAGTTTTATTGACATTTTATTCATTCAAATCAATTGTTTTCTTTCATAAAACTCTGTTTATTTAAGTGTTATTTTCAACGATAAATGTTATTTCGAGCCAAAAGTAAATTAAATTTATATATTAATGCAATTATTGTAACATTTTTATACTAATCGTTAAAATACATAATTACTTCTGTAAAGTAATCTTTGGACAAAAATAATTTAAAAGTTTAAAATTATATTTAAATATATTTATATAAAATAGGGTTAATATTTGAAACTCGGAGCGAATATAAACCTGATTTACAGATGTAATACACTTTCAAAATACAGTATAATTTAAATAACTGAGAAAATATATGTAATAAATAATAGCCTTAAGGCAAAGTATTGCACAATTTCTCGCTAGTATTCATTTTCTTAATTAAAATTAAACTTATAAAAAATATTATAAATGACAAAAACAATGATATGACAAAATAATTGAACATAACCTTCACTTGAAATGTCCAGAGATTGTCAAACGATTGAAGAGTCGATTAATTTGGTAAACGAAGCCATAGATAATGCCATCGAAAGCAATGGACTCGAGAGTGCCGTTCAAATGCTCGAACCATACGCTCATAAAAGCTTATATCACAGCGCCTTCCGATCCATACTTATTATATTAAAAGCCGGACTCACTCTCAAAAAGGTATCATTTGATGAAAAAAAATATATTTCCTTTCAAAACGGTTACTTTGATTTCATTGTTGAGTATATTTAACACAATTTTTTGTGTCAAACAATTGTATTTGAAGGATGATTTGGAGAAGGCGTCTGAAGCCACTGAACAAACGGCTAAACTCAGCAATAAATACAGAAGGACTGGCTTTTTAAATAATTTAGTTAAACTGTTTAAAACACCAAATTATGACAAATATACTGATTGTAAGTACAAAAAAATCACTTCCAATTAAATTAGTATTAAAACATTTATTGTTTTTTAGTGGAAATACACGCAGAGCTAACTTATGCTAAATTCTTGGGTATGAGCGCTATATTGTGTGCATTGGAGGCACAGAATATCTACGCTCTCATCAAAATTGCATATCGGTTGCGATTATGTGTCAGTGCATTCAAGTAATCAAAAGTGACATTAAATCCAATAAAATAGATATTAATTAATAAAAGTGTTATAAAAATCATAGGGAATGCAAAACAATACTGAGAAACCGATCCATTTGGGAGTCGGAAACATCAAAACAACACTTCGAGGCCGGCGTACGGCTAGCAAATGGCATACAGCACCTGACCATCAGTCATATCCCACCAAAACTGTTGAAAATAGTGAATTTTCTCGGCTATAAGGGTGTGGAAAGTCGAGCCTTTCAGGAGTTAAGCCGTACGGCGTTTGAATTGCCCGGAATTAGTAGTCGTATCGCTCAAGTAGTGCTCCTATTCTACTGGATTGCAGGCCAACCGCACGCCTGTCTCGGACCCAAGGAATCCTCCCTTGCCTTCAGTCAACAGATCATTGATAAGGAATTAAAAAGATTTCCAAAAGTAATTTAATATAAAAAATTTCTATAAAAATATTCAAAACAAATTATTAATTTGAAATTAAATGTAAATTAATGGTTAAATTGTTTGCACAGAGTTTGTTATATAGGTTAGCGCAGGCAAAGTTGGCCCAAATCAGTGGCCACATCGATGAGGCCATCCATCTGTTCAAAGACTGTTTGACGAATAATAGTCTGGAAGTAAGTCATAAGATATTCCATATGGAACTGTCTTTATGTCACGCCTTGAAGTGTGAATGGCGTGAAGCCATTGATTACGCGGAACTCGTCCGCCAACAGTCGGTCCACTCGCCGGCGATTATCACATATTTGGTCGCAATCTTCAGATACGCCAAGAGTGTAGACGACTGCGACCCGCAAATGAAACAAACGGCCGCCAAATTGTTTGAGTCCGTATATTAGCCATTCATTTGATTCAAGTTATTAATGATTATGTACTTTGATCTCAGAATTATACCATCGATGAGAATAAGATATTTTGGCAAAACTATAACCGTTGAGAAGATATCGATCGAAAACTCTTTGAGTTATTTCAAAAATAACGAGTCACTCGTTTTGCCAGAATTGGTCAGTCATTCGTTAATGTATACAAAAATATCACATAAAAACTCATCAAAAATATTTTTCCTAAATTGCAAATAGGATTCACTATATTCTGGAAATCTTTTTTATTTTATTAAAAATAATGAAACGCTTTTGAATAAACATTTGCAAAGAGTTGACAAACATATCGATTCGTATAAAAAGGATTTCGGTATTGAATTACAACAAAATTGATCAATTCAATGGACGCATACCTTAATCAACGGATTGAAGAGCAGGTCCTTAAAGCGAACGTCTTTCTGAGTGAGTGTCAACAGTTGTTTGAGTTCGTTGTCCACGGCGTCCAACTTCTTCTGCTTCGAGGCGGCCGACCAGATGGCAGACACATAGCGGCCATCGATGCCGAAGAGCGGGACCGGAGTCCTGACCATCGGTGAGCCCGCAGTGGACGCACACCTCATCGCTATTGCGCTCAACGACTGCAACGATAGTAGAGATCGAGACATATCTGTGGTGTACGAAGAAGTAAGGGATCCGTTAAGACAATTGCGTCAATCAATGGCCAGACATATGTGAAGATAATTACCGATATTTGGGATCAAATCCACGCAAAAACTGGACTCAAAAGCGATGTTAAGGTCAACACAAAAAATGTCTGTCAATTCGTACAGACATTTGCATTGAATGAGTTGTGCGCACAACTAAAACAGGCTATCCGTACGCCTCTATCGCTGTGCAGTTAATGGGTTTTTGTTTGAATCGCTGGTCGAGTGATATCGCCGTCTATTGGACTGAAAACAAAGTGATTTAGTGTTTGAAAAACACATGTCTTTTAAATACAAGACAAACAATAAACTGATTTCACGTTTAAATCGACAATCAATTGATTGAATCGTTAATTGAGCGCAAAATCAATGGGAAAATCAAAGCGAGAGAAACACGAAACGGACGACACGGATGTGCCGAAGGCCAAGAAGGCGAAGACAGCGGTTCCCGCGGCCGACGAGACCCTCGAGGAGATAGACGACGGAACCGCTGCCGACGTGTCGATGAGTGACTCCCGGCGATGGACTGACCTCTCGTACGACTCGAAGATCGCCTTCACGTCGGCCATCGCGAAGCCCATGGCGTCCAAGAAGTTGGCCAAACGGCTGTTCAAACTGATCCGCAAAGCGTCCAAATTGTCCCGAAAGGAGAACCTCAGGGTTGGACTCAAAGACTGTCAGTTGAGGATCAGAAAAGGTTTGCGTTTTTATCGCCACAACTGGTGATTGACTTCTTGTGGTAA